TTTTTCTAAAACAATTAATTCAAATTTACTGTCATTTCTCAGTTCTTTTATATTAAATAACACATTTTCTATGTAATTAACAGCACCTAATAAATCTATATTTTTACCCTGTAAAAATTTATTTAATGGATTTGTCATATCAAATATTTTCAAGAATATCAGACCTGTTAAAATAAAACGCTCTGTTAACATATAGTTCATTAAACTATCTGCTTTAACACTACAAATGCGATCAGTAAATTTATCGTTTTTTAGATCAAACAATGTATCAATCAGTGCATCAAAGTTTCAAAAACAGTTTGAAGTGCTGATGAATGTGAAAACCACCGCGTTGTTTCAACTCTTTTTAATCGACGAAGTTGTTTTTTTGGATAGTATTTTTTTTTGATAATCAGAATACAAACCAACTCGTTTTTTACTACAGCTAATGAATTCATACAGAGTTTCCATGTTTCCAAATAAATCACGAGCTTCTGTACAACTTGAAACTGCATCTACAATGGCTAAGCTCAAGCGGTGGGCACAACACCAAATATACGTTGCACATGGATTTTGTTCATGAATACAGCTCTGAAGACCTTTATATTTACCTCTCATAGAAGCGGCACCGTCAAATGATTGACCTATTAAAAATTCCTTCCAATTTATAGACATTTCTTGACATATTGTTTCAAACATACCAAATAAATGTAGACCTGTTGTACAAATGGTTTCTTTGACAGCTACTAAACGTTCATGCACAATACAAGTACTTTTATTAACATACCGAAATATTAATGAAACTTGTTCTTTTCGAGAAACTCAAAAGTAGAGTCTAAAGAAATACTAAAAAATTTAGCTTCAATTAATTCTTTTTTAATAACATTTAATATATTTGTTGAAATGGCTTTAATCAACTGATTTTGACGCTGCCACGAAAGAAAATTATTCACTTTTCTACCTTCGATTTGGATTTCAGTAATATGAGATGCTAATACAGGAGAGTACTTGGCCAATAAAACTACTAGATCTTTAAAGTTACCACGTATTTCTTCATTCCAACCTTCTCGATGACCTCTGAAAGATAGACAATGTCTACCCAAAAATAAGGTTAAATCAATCAGATGACTTATTATTTCTTTATTAAGACATATGTCAGCATTCAATTTTTCTGTTATAGATGGAATAAGTGGAAATGATGCTCCTTTGTAACTGTTTTTAATATATGACATTATATGATCTTCAGATGTTTCATGCATAATTATTTTGGCAGACCCATTTTTCCATAAACTGAATCCATGTTTTGTCCAATGACAGTTAGATTGTTTTGTTTTAAATAAAACACAATAATGGCAAAATGCTTTATCAATTTTTATAGAGTAAGACAACCATTTTCTTTTCGTTACACTTCCATCAATTTTCCAATACCAAGATTCGTGAAAAGACCGACCGATCTTATCCTTTGGAAAGTGTTTGTCCGGTAGATCATTTGGCATAGGCTGTGAAGGTCCTTTTTTGAAAAAAAACTCTACAAGATCTGGAGTGAGTATTTTGAATAAAATCAGACAATGTTTTGTCCACAAATTTTTTTGAGTAAACCTATGAAAAACCCCTTGGCGGTCAGGACTAGGTATGTTGAGATCTCATACAAGATCTCATGGCGGTCAACGAGTTAAGTATAAACTTAGCGCCATACAAATACCTCGAACCCAGACATTTCACCGCGATGAGAATCCCCCCACGATGTATCATTAAAGATTGATACATAACAATGCTAAGAACTTTGATATGTTCCTCAATTTAAATCAAGTACATTTTATTACCCACACGGTCTCGCACTTGAATTTCCAGCTTTAATTTCCGTTTGTGCATAAGGAGCCATACGCTTGCACACTCTGGGGCAGAAGACTTTTTTAGGTGCTGCTCGGATATGAGGTATAACGACGGGACGCAGTCTACAAACATGTATGTAGACCGCCTATCTGAGCAGCGATAAAAAAAACATTTAAAGATAAAATTGACCCAAATATAATTTGCTGTAATATATTGTATACCTATGATATAGTTTTGTATTTTCCGCCTATAATTATACAAAAAGACAAAATCACTGATATAACACAGTATGGTAGTGTATTTAATAAGTTTGTTAGTAACTGAACAGCCGTCGATCAGTAACCTAACCGCGTATTAGTGCATATCATCATTCAATGAAAAGAGTTCTATTCGACCGTCGCCTGTTGTGAAGGAAATGCCACTGTATTTTTAAGGGAGCATGGCTTATTAGACACTGCCAACGAAACGTTACCATGCCTTAAGCGGGGTAGTGAATTGGTAAATAGTAGAAAATGCGATCGCGGGGGTGAATTTCGTCCGGTTCTTCGGTGCAAAAAAAAGGGTGCCAGACTTCGCGCAGTGTACGACACAAGGCAATAAATTTTTTCACTATGAGGACTTGAATAACAAATCTAATAGTAAACTAAAACTGACAGAAATATTAAAAATTGTTTTTTTTTTTTTTTGTAATGGACATACCTTTAAGAAGAACAGCCACCCTAACAGGTATAGTCTATTCCACGAGAGAATAATCAGTCCGCCGACCAATTTTCGTCCTTGCTTGCGCATGTCCCCACTCTGGAGACCGCGTTCGAGCGGCTTCGTTGGTGGACGCCGGTCGTCGGCTCATGCCGCCGGTGCGCGCCTGTCGTCGATATTCGTCGGATTTGTGGAATGTCACTGCTATAAAATATTATAGTATGTGCAAATACGTATCTTATCATTATTACCCTGGGCGCATCATTTTAGTAGCGCCAAAAAAATTGTAAAAAAAATTAAATAATAATTTAGTTGACAGTCGTTAAACTAATAATAATAAAAACAAAATTAATTTTATGAAAAAAGACGAGTAGATAGATAGTTACATTTTTAATATGAGAAAAAAAAAATTGAAAATTATGTTGTGAATTAGTACTTAAACATTTTCAAATTGTGTAGCAAGTACGCAGCAGATATAAAAATGTTATGAACCAATGGTTTAGGGGCCCTTAAACAGTTGTAGTACGAGTGTGCCAAATAACTGTAAGCACTAATCTCTTTGTGTACCAATGCCTTGACGTTGTCTATTGTGTAATCGATGACAGAGGGATCGCCGACTTACTGGAGCCTGGCAGATGTTTTTTGTAATTCCATAATATGGATTGTACTAATGTTCAATACGTATGTGTACGGTCATTACCAATCCAACCGTACGCTAAGAGACTACTCTGTTTGCACGTTGTTTTGTATCGACGATGAGAATATTTTGTTATTTGATATTGTAAATTTTCCACATTTTTTCAAATTATGGATCAATTACCTGACGTAACTAAATCACCATCAAAACCCAATCCGAGAGGAAAGGTAAGTTATTCTTTTTAATTTAAAATAAATTATTTTGCTATTAAAACATTGGTAGGTGGTACGTTCTATTTTACGTGTACAAGCTATGAACGCGTTCAGTTTATTAGACAATGTATGTGAACGTGAACGCGTTTACTATTTTAGTGAACGTTCCAAACACTGCTACAATATTAGGTTATTTAAATTGTATACATACATGTATATTGTTTATATACATACTTAACCCGGTCCACACAAGAAAAATTAGTCGGAAACACGTGTTTCCTACAAATTTTACAAATGTCTCTTCACAGGAAAAATGTTTATCTTAATTATATCTGATCTTATTATATCTTCATTATTTATGATATTTATTATATCCATGACGTCACTGTTACCTATGCACGTTGTTGGCCACGAACGCACTTATCACCGTTAACGCCGGCAGCCTCACCTCCTCAAGACAGTTCTCAGGTGAACACAACAAGTTTATTTCTAAAATAAATAGTCTGATAAAATATGGCTATAATATTAATCTATATTATAGTGATTTGTGACACAGTAATATTATTATGTGGGAGATACAATGATTTCACCACTCCGGAGCTGGCTGGTGTCTGCTGAGCTGCTAGTATGGCCGATCTGGCATCAGGGTAGCGGAACTGCTGGTATGGCCGGTCTGGTCGTCGGTGTAGCGGAACTGTTGGTGTATGGCTGATCTGCCGGTGTGTGGCTGATCTGCCGAGTCTGGCTTTAAGATGCGAGACGGATGAAAACGGATAAACAAAACAAGACTCTTCGCTTCCGTTTTGGTGTGAAAACGTGGTTTACGAAATACACAAGAAAAAGATATGAACAATATCTTACAAACAGTAACGGACCGAAAACAGCTATCGGTACAAAAACGATAAAGATGGCGACGGAGCGTCGCCGACCGCACATCAACGGCTGTCTGGGCGGCCTAATAGTCTGACCAACTGTTAGCAGTGCTGGCAACATCACGCGCCACAGTGGCGCGTAATAGTGAGCAATTTTAAATGTCGATGGTGCTCGAACATACTCCCCCTTGGAAATCCCAGATCTGGGATTACAAAGAGTTTGAGCAGTTGAAAGTTTCAGTTCTTCGCTAGATGATACGGATGGTGGACCCGATCAGGCACACAGTTGATTGATTGACATGTTGACTCTTCACGCTTACTCGGAGTGGTACAGGGGGGTTACATCAACAACAAAATTATTATACAAGAGATCGATATACATATTATATAACATATTATGGTAACTGTAGAATCACAAGTTTATCACATTACAATTTATCAACATTTTATAGCTATATCACAGAGGATTACATTATAGTATTATTAAAACAAAACGGGCAGCTGTGGATCAACAGCTGCTCTAAATTATAACATTATCTAAAATAAATGATTAGGAACAGTTGTACTAAATTATAACATCATATAAAAAAAATTAAGAATCAGTCTGAGGGGGTTTGGTGTCTGGCCCAAAACAATTATTTCTCCACACTCTCTACTCCTTTTTTTTTTTTAAATGGATACAGCTCATCAACTGCTCCCGGTGAGCACACCGCCCATCAAATTAGTATTAAGGTGTCAAGAGAAAGGGGATAAAAAAAAGAAATATTATTATGACTGATCGGTCGGCAGCAGTACCAGTTTCACTACAGGTCTGACCAAGGAACCACCTTTCGTTAGTACCCGAACGACTCTAACCACCCCATCCTTACTAGGCATCACCTCAAGGATACGACCCAAACGCCAGAGTAGTGGGGATGCAGTGCTATCTTTTATGACCACCATGTCTCCTACTTTCACATTTTCTTGGCTTGACGACCAGCGACTCCTAACTTGCAAGGTGTTCAGATATTCTGACGACCATCTTCGCCAAAAGGTTTGAAAGGTTTGTTGCAGGAGCTTCCAACGCCGTTGTAGATTCACTGGCTTCACACCGAGTTCCTTCTCAGGAACTGACATCAATGGTTGGCCAATTAAAAAATGACCTGGGGTCAAACAGTCCAAGTCCTCCGGATCTGGAGTAACAGGAGTTAATGGCCTGGAGTTCAGCGCAGCTTCAACCCGACATAGGATTGTAGTAAACTCTTCCAATGTCCAAGTCTGCGCCCCCAATGACCTTGTCAGCAACGATTTGGTAGACTTCACCGCAGCCTCCCAAAGTCCTCCAAAGTGAGGTGCACTAGGCGGGTTAAAGTTCCAGTGACACATCAGACGACTGGAACATTGATCCCTACTCGAGGGCGAGTTGATCAAATCCTTCAATTTACGTGCAGCCCCAACAAAGTTTGTCCCACAATCTGAATGGACGGATGTAGGCACACCTCGCCGGGCAACAAATCTGTCAAGTGCCGCTAAAAAGTCATCAGTTGATAAATCCAGTACAACTTCAAGGTGAATAGCTCTTGTACTCATACAAACAAAGAGTGCTATGTACACTTTGTATTCGCGAGCTTTTCGTAACTTGGTTTCTTTTATTATTAATGGTCCTGCGTAGTCAATTCCCACTGCTGTGAATGCTCGGCAAGCTTGCACTCTTGACATAGGCAGATCAGCCATTTTGGGTTGAGGATTCACTCCATCTAGTTTTACACAAGTAATGCAGGACTTGATAGCCTTATAGACAACCCGGCGTACACCCATGATCCAGAAGCGACTATTGACTAACGAGATAAGTAGTTTTGATCGGGCATGACATGCACTCAAATGCCAATGGCGTGCAATCAACGCAGATAGGTGCGATTCTTTAGGCAACAGTATTGGGTGTTTGCGATCCCATGAACACATAGCATTCTGCAGCCGACCACCAACTCTAATAACACCAAATTCATCGATAAAAGGGCTAAGTTTAGCATACACCTTCGAAGAGACTGCGCTACCACTTGACAATTCCCGAAGAAGAGAACTCAACAGGCACTCCTGGGTACATCTGACTAACACGTACAAAGCTTGATCTAGCTCTGAACGTGTCAAATGACCAGAAACTGTTTCCTGCCGTCTACATCTTCCAATGAAACGGCGTAGCCGAGCTATTACACGGATCATGACGCTGTAGGATGAGAACCGCGTAAACCATTCGCCTTTCCTTATTGGTGACGTTATCAAAAGGGCTACTGAGTGGACTTCCGGTAGCTGGTCGCCTGGCATGGTAGTTGGATGGAGATCCCAATGATCGACTGGAGATCTTAAAAACTCTGGACCCGACCAGTACAACTGAGCTTTTACTATCTCTGCTGGAGTCAGTCCCCGTGACGCACAATCAGCCGGGTTTTCTTCAGACCTGACATGAGCCCACTGGCAGACTGGAAGCAAGGTCTTGATGTGATGGACGCGATTAGAGACGAAGACCTTCAAGGCAACATGGGGGTTTAACAACCAAGAAAGGACTATGGTCGAATCCGACCAAGCATAAACACCTGAAATCTTCATGTGTGCTTCCAGTATCCGAAGCATCCGTGATAACCAAGAAGCCAACAAAACAGCTCCACATAACTCCAATCTGGGTATCGTGGTCGTTTTTAACAGTGCCAGTTTAGTTTTTGCCCCGAGCAAGTACACGTTTACCTTCTGAGACGGATCAGTCACACGAAAGTACAATACTGCAGCATAACCCCTTTCAGAGGCATCGCAAAAACCGCACAATGAATATTCTATCCCGATGGAGCCGCCAATGCAACGTGGAATGCGGATCTCTGTCAGCCAACCTAGCATGTCCATGAATTGTTGCCATTCCGTAGCGATGGCTGGCGGTAGTGGTTCATCCCACGAAGTTTGAGCAGACCATAAACGTTGCATAATACACTTGGCATGAAAAATAACTGGCGATAGAAACCCTAACGGGTCGAAGATCCTTGCAATTACCGATAGGACCCCACGTTTGGACAAAACTGACTTGATTGCGGTTATATCGTACACAAAATGATCCGCGGTTGGACGCCATTGCATACCTAGCACAGGAATGCCGTCACCACGGTCAAACGTAAGGGGATCACCTGCTAAGTCTTCCAGCGGAAGACCTGATAACAACCGTGGTTCGTTGCTAGACCATTTCTTCAACATTAATCCCGATCTGGACAATGTTTTAATTAAATCAGATTTCAATGATAAAGCACATTCCAACGATGGTGCCCCCACACAGATGTCGTCCATGTAAGTCTGGAATCTGAGCGCCTTGCTAACTTCAGGGACCTCCTCACAATCATTATCAGCAATATGACGAAGGACCCGAAGCGCTAAATAAGGAGCGCTGTTTACTCCATACGTAACCGTGTTCAACGTGTACTCCCGGATCTGGAGCTGTGGAGAATTTCTCCAGAGTATATGCTGGTATCCGCGGTATTTTTCTAGTACCCAAATCTGTCGGTACATTTTGCAGATGTCTGTGGTAAACGCAACGGTATGCGATATAATAAACCCTAGACGCTACAGAGCGGCGCTATAATAATGCGTTTTCATTGGCCTATTTGAATTACCCGCCAGATTGTTATCACGTTATATTAATATAGTGAAATTCTATTTTAAAATATATTTATATTACCTATCGTAAACAGTTAATAGATTACTATTAGATAAACTAACTATGACTTTTGAACTTTTTGAACTTCTATTTTTCATTCAAAAAATCAATTAATATGAGTCTAGAAAGTATTTTGATGGAAATAAATAATATTAACCCTAATTTGCATTGCAAATTATTGGAAGATGACAATGAAGAACAAAATGTGATACGTAGCAATATGAACAATGCTGAAGACGTTGCAGAATTTCTTATGTTGTTTCAAGAAAAAACTAATACAAATTGGATTATCCAAGGACAGTTACAAAACCCAGAGAAGTAAGTTATAAGTATTATTTAAAATATTTTATGTACCTAATTAATTAGAATGATATTAAATATAAACATCATATTATATTGCAGTTTTAGATAGATTTTAGCTTACTTCTTAGATAAAAGTAGGTAATAAAAATAAATAAATTATTCACTTTTATATTATATGAATTATTAAATGGTAGGTACATATTGTGTATAAATTAATTTTGGTTTTAATATTAAAGAGTACTCATAGTATGGCAGAACCATTTTGGAACCTCCACATTTTTCCACATAAAAATACACATTTTAAAAACTGACCTAAATTCAGACCTATGATAGAAAAATATAACATGAGCCAAGGTCAGAAATATAACAAAATAAAAATTTAGCATTTGAAAATATTTTAATTGTTGATTGTTCTTTAAATGTGTTTGCACCTTTTTTTTTTGTATTTGTATATAAATACCTATTGGAAAATATATTTAAATACTTTTTTATTCAAGTATTTAAGTACCTACCTAGGTGTCTGATATTCTTATAAAAAGACTAAAAGTATTTTTAACAAGTATGTATATTTTATAAATATACCATAGGTGATAGGTAGGTCATAATATTATATTCTGTACTCAGTACCTACTGATCTCTGATACTAATTCTCTCTTGTGTTTAGAGTTGTTTTTCACAAATATTGGGTTTGCCAGCATAATCATCGAAACAAAGTAAAACCAAAATCAACACTGATTAAAAACATTAAAGATTTAACTCCACGCAACACACTGTGTGAAGCCAAACTGGACATACTTATAAAAAAAAACAATAGAAATACTAGAAAAAATGACATGTATCTTAAAATGACACATCCGTTGTGTGCAAAAGTTTCAATAATCGGTAAACATAATCATACCATTAACACCAGTGGCTCTCTTAAATTTCTAAGAGTAAATCCAGAGGTAGAGTTTAAAAATGTACACTTTTATCATCACCCAGTATTGTTGATTTCATATTATTTTATATTTGCAGACTGAACAGTTGTTCCTTCAGTACTTCAATGAAGGTATGGGACCTAGTGAGGCTTGTCGTTTTCATGAAAAAGAAATCTTAAAAAACACAAGTCCATTAAAACTATTGGCTAATGGTTCAATTAATCCAATCAAAAACAGTGTGTATCACCTTCATAATGTTTGGAGGAATTCAAATTTTGGCAGTGTAAATAATCCCTTAGAAAAACTAAAAGAAAAAATTCCATTATATAATTCACAAGGTATAAATTTCTTTTTTTAATCTGATTATAGCTGTATAGTGTATATAAATATATGAATATGATCTTTGATTATAGATTTAACATTCATAGTTTTACTTTAGGAATTTCAGTGTATGTGAATGAAGATACACCCTGGGTTATTCTTGTAACCACACAAATTATGAAAAGAGCTCAACTCTTAAGTACTTCTAGGGAAATTATATTTTGTGACAGCAGTAGTAGCTGCGATACTTTAGAAACTACGATCACTATTCTATTGACAGCAACAAAGGCTGGTGCAGTGCCTTTAGGCATTTTACTACATCAAGGCCAGTCAACTGAAAGCTACAAGGCTGCTTTTGGACTTCTAAAAAAAACATTTCCTAAGTGTTTTGGTAATTCGGATGTAAGTGTTAATTATATTTCTTAAAATTTAATATACCTAACCTAATTTAACATATTAATACAAAACTATTATGAAACAACAATACTAAGCATAATAATATTATGATAGTACTTTGTATTACCAAATTAAGTAGGTACCAGCTATTAAAATTTCTATTAATATTCCAGGCACCAAACATCTTTATGACAGATGATTCGGCTGCTGAAAAACAAGCATTGAAAGAAATATTCCCTGAATCTTTGCAATTATTATGTCATTTTCATGTTGGACAAAAAGAATGGCGTTGGATTACAGATTCTAAAAACCATATACCTCAAGACCAAAGGCAATACCTTATGCAATTATTTAGAAAAGAATGTAAGGTTTTGATATGCCATTAATCAAACTTTTTTTTTTACTTTGAGTACTTAGTTACCTAAGGTAACTTATTTGTCTAGTTAAATTATAAAAAAATATGTAGGTACTTTACAGTATACAATATTTTTTTACATGGGTATTATGTTAATGGACCATTTTATTTATATTTAATATTATATGTATAATTATTTGTTCTCAATGATTTTTTATTCAGGTTATGTATGCTGAAAATGAAGAAATCCTAGATTCTGGTGTAGCTAATATACACAACTTATCAAACAAATTTCCTCAATTTGTGAAACGTTTTGACAATTTTTATTGCCGTAAAACTCAGTGGGTTTTATTATTTCGGTTGAATTATATTACTCGCGGCAATAACACCAACAATTATGCAGAAGATTCCATACGTGTTTTGAAAGAAATTGTTCTGTCTAGAAATAAAGCATATAATGTTACTGCATTAGTTGAATCTATTTCTAAAGTGTGGGAAGATTATTTCACTAATAGAATATTAGATCATGCCCATGTTCGAAAAGATGAAATAGCAAGAGGTTATTTTGCATTATTTAAACAAATGAATCACCTAGATTTAAAAAATATTATTGATCATCATAATGGACTGTATTCTGTTCCTAGTTCGTCAATAGGTGATATGTACTATATAGTCAATATGAGTATTGGTGTTTGTAACTGTAAAGTTGGAAAAGTTGGTGCTTTTTGCAAACACCAGGCTTGGTTACACAAACATTTTAATTTGCCATTGCCAAATGCACAACCAGTCACTTCAAAAGAACGTTATTTACTTGGACAATTGGCTTTGGGAGAAAAATGTCCATCATTAGATTGGTTTTTAGGATTGAAAGAAAATCTAAATCCTCTTGTTGATATTAATAGCAGTATTGTAAAACATGATCAAAAAAATGAAGTTGCAAACACTATTACAACAACTATCATGGAACTTAAAACCAGCAATACAAACACAACATATAGCAATGATACAAGTGAAATTGACCAAAGAAGTGGTGTGACAAAAGATATAGAAGAAGAAATTGTAAGACTTCAAAGTTTATTATCTTTTGTACCATTGGATGTATGTGAAAAGTTGTCTAAGAAACTGAAAAATATTAAAAATGCACAGCAACTAACATCATTTATTGTTAAGACCAATAGAAACCTATCATCGGTTAATAAAAGAAGACAGCAAATAAAAGTTCAACCTACTGCCATATCAAGGCGAAGACCAGGAGTGACTCGTGGTTCAAAGCGAATTCCGTCTGGCCGTCCACCCACATCAGTTGCCAAAAATAAAAATAAAAAAAGGTTACACAATTTAAACCAAAACATAAGCAAAAATCAAATGAATGCAACATACCATGGCAGATGTTCATAAATTTAAATTTACTTATTACAATAATATTCAATGATGTATTATAATATATAACCAATTTATAAATAATTTAAATAAATGTTAGGTTTTACCTTCTGATGTACCTATACTCTATAGATACCTATCAATTTTGTCTATTAATTAAAATAAAGGAAAGGAGAATTGGCACTTCCAAAGTTTTAATTTCTCAAAACATTATAAAGATGATAAACAACAGTTATTAGAAGATTTGTAGAACCACTAGACAATAGTTTTATACTTAAAATAAGTTTTTCATAAAAATGATACCTAAGCAGTAAGCTTCACTAGGTCCCATACCTTCATAGAAGTATTTAATACAGGTAAGTTCAGTCTGAAATGCATTATTAAACTTGATTATTAAGCTATACATCTCAATATTCATTTTAATTGGTAGGTTACAACAATATTATTTAATACCAAAAATGAAGTTGTTTTTTTTATTATTAGCTATTAAACCTAACCTAACCTAACCTAACCTAACCTATGATAGCTCAACATTTACAATCTATACATTATACAACATAATATATTACATTTTAATATTATATAACAAAGCCAAAAATGAACAGTTGTCTAGGTAAGTTTAATTAAAATTAAAGTGGAAAAAAATTTACTTTACCAAATTTAAAAAAAAAAGGTTAATATATTTTTGTATAACCTAGGGGCTAGAATTATAGTAGAGTGAGGATCACATAAAGAGTGATTGTGTTCTTTCTAATTTCCATAATAATGTTAGGTAATTTTATATGAATGAAAAATAGAAGTTCAAAAAGTTCAAAAGTCACAGTTAGTTTATCTAATAGTAATCTATTAACTATTTACGATAGGTAATATAAATATATTTAAAAAAAGAATTTAATAGATATATAGATTAATATAACGTGATAATAGAATTTCACTATATTAATATAACGTGATAACAATCTGGCGGGTAATTCAAATGGGCCAATGAAAACGCATTATTATAGCGCCGCTCTGTAGCGTCTAGGGTTTCTTATATCGCCAACGGTATGGACTCTAAAGCCAGTTAAGACATCAACTATATCTTGTTGTAACTTTGGGCCAACATGGAGACTTTCATTCAGTGAGGAACCGGATCGACAACGAGCCGAGGCGTCGAAAACCACTCTTAATTTCATATTTTCCCCTTCGGCCTTGTAAACAGCATGGTGCGGGATGTAGTAGTCTCCTGGTGAATCTGCCTCAGACATGTGCCCTAACGCTTCATAATCCACCATGAACCTTTTGTAGTTATCGTACAGCACAGGGTCTCGGGATAGTTTGCGCTCCAGTTGTAACAGACGATTAACTGAAATTTGTCGCATTCCAGGAAAAGAACTGGGCTGACCATCACGAAACGGCAATGGGACCATGTACTGTCCTTTACCATTCTTGCACATCTCTGATAGAAAAATTTCTTCACACTGACCCTCCTGAGTGAACACGGGCGGAGCAGCTTCCGGTTCCTCAATGTTCCAAAACTTTTCCATTAAGGATTCGACTGAGGAAGATATCTGAACAGGTAGAGCCCTAGGACTTGGAGCCTTTATGTGGTGAAGTGGACCTACAATTGCCCAACCGAAGATGGAGTTGAACGCAGTTGGATATCCATGACCTAACGAGGCAGTTTCATGAGACCAGACCATAGGGTATATGTCAGCACCCAACAAAATTTCAACCGGAGCCGGGATATCAAATAGCGGATCAGCTAATGACAAGTCACCACATTTCTCCCGAACCGTTGACGGTAGTTTTGAGGTAGGCATATCAGATGTTATGGAAGATAGCACCCAAGCTCTTACAGGCATTGAAGATTGGCTTGAGTCCCGAGGTTGGATATGTAGATCTACGATACCCAAAACGCTTGGTACAGGTAACTCTGACAACCCAGTAACTGGTAACGTCCATTTTGCTGCACGTAGACCTAGACGTTGACAACAATCTGCAGATATGGCACTGATCTGTGAGCCACCATCAATTAAGGCCCGAACCGTCTGTGGACTTCCAGCCACATCTTGAACATGAAGCAGTGCCGTCGCTAGTACTACAGATGGAAGTTGATTTTGATGCTTGGCAAACATGGCCACTTTAGGAACCTTGGACGACGGATCAGAAGTAGAAGGGTCCTTGTGCAATAGCCCATGATGGCGACGTTTGCACACACTACATGACGATTTGCATTTATATGACATATGGCCACTTTCAAAGCATACTAAACATAGTCTGTGAGAGCACACAATTTGGTATCGATCATCTACTGATGCTCCCAGAAATTTTGCACAATCTTTCAACGCATGAGCTCCCCCACAGCAACGACACTTTTCGGATTCAGTGGACTTAGGTTTCTGAGTCTTTACAGATGATACCAACGCTGTCTGGGTGGTCGAAGAACGATTGTAATGCTTCCCTGGACCTGGATTAGTTTTCTTGTTGCTTCCACCAAACGATTTCCCTGGTCCTGAAGTACCACCAGCATTTTCCAGCACCCTCACCCTATTCTTCACAAATTCCAGCACACTGTCAACTGATGGATACTCTGCAGAATTATCAGATTCAAACAAGCGACGCGTATGAGTTGGAAGAGATTTTGAAGCGATGGTAAACAGCAGGAACGAACACAGGTCTGGCAAGTGCAACGATTCTAATATTGCTAGTCCTTCATCAAATACATTCAAGAAACGTTTGAGATCCACCAGTGATTCTGAAGTGGATACGGGAGCAACTAAAAAACTCTCAATGATTGAAGAGGCCAGTTTTCTCGGTTTATCGTAGGATTTCACTAATGTGTTCCAGGCTAACTGGAAGGTGTCTTTAGTCACTGGAATCCCTTTTAGTACTTCACCCGCATCAGCTTCAAGGCACCCAAGTAAATAGTAAAATCTGGTGCTATCTGAATCAATATCCTTGTTGCGGATTACTAGATTAACAAAGCGGTCCCGGAAGTCTGGCCACGAACGGAGATCACCGTCGAATTTTGGCAGAGGGATTTCTGGGAGGCGCATTGATACTTGGGGACGGAAGGAGACATCTGAAGACGTAGAACCACTCACACGAGCTGACGACTGTGTTTCCATGACAGAAACTGTGTTTGGAAGCATGGCTGCGTTGCTAGTTTGTGTAATCGACTGATGATCTTCACCTGGATTTGCCATTATTGCAGTATCACTGATCTGTGTAACTGGTGTAGCGTCTTTGGATGACTTCAAGGTTTCAAGTTCATAACTATTGATGATTGATTTGATCTCTACCACTAAGGCGTAGACATCAGCATCAGCATCTGGAGAAAATTGATCTATTTCGTCCAACTCAATCATAACGTTCAATAACGCATCACTTTCCACTGAATATTGCGACCACCAATTATTCAGATCCTGACCAGCCGTCGTAACTAGACCCCTTGATGTTGGATCATTTCCTGCTGCTTTTGCTGAAGCATGTAGACGACGAATATGACTTGCAGCGAGGTCTCGCTTAGCTGTGGCACGCTGTTTCAGTCTTATGTTGCGAGTCTTGATCTCTTCGTCTGACATGGTGGCAAAAGATAACAAATGCACGCACCTACAAGGAACTAACGCAACGACCCAATGAGCATGAAGCAGTACAAATTAATTTAACACTTAAGCACTAATACAACTGGTAAGCTGGAAATAACAATTCAATGTGATTGCACATATATCAGCAACTCCAAACCCACTTAAATAATTATATTATATTATCAATACTGATCAGTACTTCATCAACATAAATTTAAAGAATACTAAATAACAAAGTAATAATAATCAACTAATAGATCAGAGATCCAGTGAAGTTCACACAAACATAATAAATTACTACTAATAAACAATAAAATAATATGGTAGCTACCTACAGTAGAACTAAGTAGTAATAATACCAGTAGTAATAACAGGGAAGTTCTAACCTGTTTATAAATTTAACAAAATATAATAACCTTGCTAGGTCAACAATAAAATATGTGATCCAAATAAAAATATTAAATTAATAACACTAACATAATAGGTATTAATGAAATCCTAATTATTAACGTTAAGAGAAAACCTACTAAACTAAGAGAACTGAGGTATTTAATATTTAAACTGATCAGTCTTATATATTGTTCAATTAAATGTAACCACTTAATATTGAAAGGTGCCTAATAGTTAAGATGCCACATCCATGGATCAACGGACTGCTGACACTAAATAATACTGTTACCCACCGATAGTCATAATCTTAACACTACAATGGGAGGGAATGACACCTTAATATAATAAAACAGAAGTAAGCTCACCAAGTAACAGCCAGAAGAGAAGATCCTTAATCAACCACGCTCTGCTACCATTATGTTGGCCACGAACGCACTTATCACCGTTAACGCCGGCAGCCTCACCTCCTCAAGACGGTTCTCAGGTGAACACAACAAGTTTATTTCTAAAATAAATAGTCTGATAAAATATGGCTATAATATTAATCTATATTATAGTGATTTGTGACACAGTAATATTATTATGTGGGAGATACAATGATTTCACCACTCCGGAGCTGGCTGGTGTCTGCTGAGCTGCTAGTATGGCCGATCTGGCATCAGGGTAGCGGAACTGCTGGTATGGCCGGTCAGGTCGTCGGTGTAGAGGAACTGATGGTGTATGGCTGATCTGCCGGTGTGTGGCTGATCTGCCGAGTATGGCTTTAAGATGCGAGACGGATGAAAACGGATAAACAAAACAAGACTCTTCGCTTCCGTTTTGGTGTGAAAACGTGGTTTACGAAATACACAAGAAAAAGATATGAACAATATCTTACAAACAGTAACGGACCGAAAACAGCTATCGGTACAAAAACGATAAAGATGGCGACGGAGCGTCGCCGACCGCACATCAACGGCTGTCTGGGCGGCCTAATAGTCTGACCAACTGTTAGCAGTGCTGGCAACATCACGCGCCACAGTGGCGCGTAATAGTGAGCAATTTTAAATGTCGATGGTGCTCGAACACACGTCTACAATAATATTAATATGATATTATTTATTCAATGATTTGTCGTCTTTTAAACAAATTAAATATTTTAGATTCTGAGTGGAGCGATGAATGTATTGGTTTACAATGATGTGTTTTTTTTATTGTGTCTGTGTACACGATAAGTAGTCGAAATAATGTTTCGATTTTCAACTTCAGTAGCTTTTCTGTTTGGAAAGTGAATCTAGTTGGTGCGTTGAGGTGGTCAAATTTTGAAATTCCCAGTAGTTTTCAAAAGCACCGGCAAAAACAAAAAAAAATTAAGGAAAAAAGGAATTTTTTTATATGTTGTTCTAACTCTAAAACAAATGACCGTAGGCACATGTCATTTTCACTGAAGGTTAATACTGACATTTTATATACTTGATAAAATGTTCAAAATCTTTTTAAGTTATTTATAGACAGTTGAAATTTTCAATCTTTTAGTTTTTTTTTCTATAAATGTCAATAAAATTTTCTTCGTTGGGTCAAAAAGCTTGAAAATTTAATACAAAGATCCTAATATATTGTTACAATAGTAGTTGAAAAATATTAAAAATTTAAAACCCCAGTTTATTTTAATAGTTATTTTATGTTCAAATTAGGATAAAATTTCATATTAAATAAACGATTTTGAGTTGTAATTAGGGTTTTAGTTATTTTGTTGTAATTGTATAATCTTAATTAAACTTACTAGCTACCGTATTAATAATAAGTAGAAACAATGTTATCAATTTTTAAATACAAAAACATTATTAAATTCTAAATTTGATAAATGTTGTCAAAAATTGAACTTTTAATGCTTATAAAACAAAATGTGCCTATGTTTATTTTAATATTTTTTAGCTACTATTGTAACTTGTAACAATATATTAGGATAATTATATTAAATTTTCAAGCTTTTTGCCCAACGAATAAAATTTTATTGACATTTATAAAAAAAAAATAAAAAAAACACACATTATTGTGAAATCAATATATCCAACGCTCCGCTCAAAAAATTGAAAATTATACTATGTACTTATAGAAAATTATAGACATTTTTTTAACATAAAAATATATAAAATATAGTCAAGTTTATTTAAATTGATTTAATTTTATAATACTTTCTCATAAATCTTTTGCGTAATCTCGGATAATATTGTAGTCAAACAGGTAGTCTAAATTCATATTTTTTCAGTTTGTTTCATCAAGTCAAAGACTGATGATAATCAATGCCTATAAAGCAAAAATGGTTCAAAATCCCGACTACAAAATGCTTCACCTAAAAAAAATACTTTCAACAGAACTTGGACTAGGCCAATCAACAATTTATAATACCATCCTTGAGTACCGACAAACAAAAACCGTTTCTTCGCCAAACAAAAGAAAAATTAGGAAGAACATAACAGAAAAAATTGATGAATTTGAAAAATATGCCATTAAAAGGAAGATCCATCAATTTTGGCACAACCGTGATATGCCTACGCTGGACAAGGTTCTCCTTGCCGTAAATGAAGAAGAGCATCTACCAAACTTCTCTCGTACATCGCTCTTTAGATTGTTAAAATCTATGGATTTCGTCTACGTCAAGCGAGGACGTCATAGTGCCTTAATCGAAAGGATGGATATTATTATATGGAGGAGAGACTACCTTAGACAGATCAAACAATATCGGGAAGAGGGTCGGCCCATTTACTATTTAGATGAAACTTGGGTGAACGCCGGAGACGTAAATAGTAAAGTGTGGTTCGACAAAACTGTGACATCAGCTCGAATGGCATCTTCTGAGGGACTATCAACCGGTGCAGTAAATCCTACCAGCAAGGGTAAACGATTGATTGTTTGCCACATCGGTTCCCAAGATGGATTTGTTCCCGGAGGTCTCCTGTGCTTCGAGTCAAAAAAAAATACCCAAGACTATCATGATGAGATGAACGGGGACTCTTTTCGTGATTGGTTGGAAAGTATTTTGCCCAGACTCGAAGACAACGCCGTCATCGTGATGGACAACGCTCCTTACCACTCGGTAAAATCAGAGAAATTCCCAACTACAAATTGGAGAAAAAATCAAATTATCGAGTGGCTTCAGAGTAAAGGCCAGGTAGTTGATGGGACAATGGTTATCGCAGAGTTGTTAGGGCAAGTAAAAAAAATAAAACCAATGTACAACACATATGTAATTGATGAGATGGTCAAGGCTGACAACAAAATTGTGCTCAGGTTACCTCCTTACCATTGCGAGCTAAACCCCATTGAGCTCGCATGGGCTGCGGTAAAAAAATATGTCAGGGATAATAATAAAACGTTTAAGCTGCAGGACGTCAAACAATTATTAATTGAAGGAGTGGACAGAGTTGGTCCTGAAATGTGGAAAAATTTCATTGGTCATGTCGTCCAAGAAGAACAAAAAGCCTGGCGGTTGGATGAAATGGTCGATGATTCCCTAACAGCAGAAAACCAAGCATGCGTTTTGACCATAGGCAACGACTCGGACGACGAAGACGAAGACGAAGACTTCAGATATTTGTCAGATTCTGATTAAATTTTATATATATGTATATTTAAAATTGTAAATATTATGTTGTTGTACAGAGTGTAATTTTGTATATATTATGTTTTTTTAAATTGTTATTTAGAACTTTTAGCAAAAACTATTATATTACTACTACTATATATTATGTTTTATAGTGTGTGTAATTGTATTTATTTAAAATTGTAAATATGTCTGTAATTACTGACTTATATTAATTTAAACATAGTGATGTTCAGTATATTATTTCTAATTATTTTTAACAAACTTTTTATCCTGGGTAGTATTTTAAAAAATATATTTGAGTTTTTACTAGTGACAATTAAGTAGTTTGGTTAGGATTACGAAAGAATTTATATAAAAGTTGTGCAACAAGACCGTAGAGTAATTGCGCCGTTGGGCGACTGCCGAAGTGCCGACTGGCCACTGGCGTACAGTTGTGGCGTATGCGCACTGCGCGCGTGAACTTTGAAAGAAGGGGAATCGGTTTGTTGCGACTCACGAGCTCGGCTTCGGGCGTCATCGCCGTGTTCATTAAAGACGTTTGGAGGGAGAAATTAGGGTTCAGCGTCGCTAATGCCGTCAGTCGTGATGCGCGAAAAGTGATTATTCTCTCGTGGAATAGAGTATAGATGTCAGGAGACAGTTACTGGCTGGTTTAATATGTGTCGTGAAGTGTGTTCAAGTTTTGTTCAAAAACGACCAAAAATGATGGGAACTGTCACAAAGCTAATACAGATTGATAAGGCAAGATTTGCCGGAAAAAGAAAATATAATCGTGGCAGGTTCTTAATGGTGATCAACCCGCTTCATCGGAAGACAGTGATGTTGAACTACACAACGGTAGAAACCACGGACGAAGAGTCGATGGACCTTGGGTTTTCTTCGAAGAGACAAAAAAACACATTACTACCAATTATTCTACGAGAGTGTGAAGCTGGCTCTGTTATTCATTCAGACGAGTGGGCAGCCTATAGATGTTTGAAAGATAATGGATATATTCACAACACTGTTAATCACCAGCAAAACAACGTTGATCCTTTGACGAAAGCTCACACCCAGAGCATAGAGAGATCATGGTTGGATGCAAAAACAAAAATCATGAAAACGATGAGAGGCACAACCATGCAACTTTTGCAATCGCATCTCGACCACTAGTGTTAGAAAGTTGCAAGAAAAGAAGAACCCAATTTATTTATTACATTTTTGAGGGATATTAAAGCGGTTTATCGTTAAGGTTTTTATACATAAAATTATTTTTAATATTTTTTACATAATTTTTAATTTTCTTAGTAAGATTATTTTGCTTTTAATAAAAATATTTTTGATTTATGACATTGCGTATTGTATTCATTTACATACCATTATTTCCTGTCAGAAGTCGCGTATGAGCGCGGCGCTCATTCCGTTATTAGTTTAGCTACCACTGGTTTCAATTTAAATTTCAAATTGTTGAAAACTACGTATACCTTATGTTATCTTATCTAGGCACTTTTCTATAAATAAAATAACCCAGTCCATAGTCTTGTGTTGAAATGACAATAGATTAAACTTGTCAGTTCTGATAAAGTGAGCGGCGCGCTCATACGCGACTGTTGGTGTATGCATTTTTCTCGTATAGTTTTTTTATAATTTCGCGTTATAATGTCTGATAATATACAAAATGTGTGTAATTGGTTAGATGAAACTGAAGAAAATAATTTATTATATGATTCTGATGACACTGACGCTGATCCGGATTTTGTATGTACAAATACGCACAATGAAATTGATTCTGAGTCGGATACAGATGTTGATGTACACATAAATCCGTCTTCATCTAGAAGAAATAATGCCTCAGTTGCATCAAGATCGCGATCTAGAAGTCCACTCATACGAAACAATTTTAGTTACTATTTAGGTAAAGATAAAGTGACAAAATGGTATAAAGAAAGTTGTACTCCAAGTAATAGTCGTACACTTCGACGTAATATAGTGTTACATTTACCCGGTGTAAAAAGAGTGGCAAGAGACGCAAAATCTATTATTGATTGTTGGAAGCTATTTTTTCCAGATATGGTCATTGATGAAATAGTAAAATGTACTAATATTTATTTGACTAAGATTCGTACAAATTTTCAACGGGAGAGAGATTGCCTAGATACGACTAGAGAGGAAATAAAAGCGTTGTTTGGGCTTCTGTACTTGGCAGGTGTTTTACGAAGCAACCATTTGAATTTGAAAGATCTTTGGTCAGACGATCCTTTATCTCCCGAATATTTTCGTGCTGTCATGTCCCTAAAACGGGTTTATCTGTTGCTTCGTGCACTCAGATTCGATGATATAAATACAAGAACTGAAAGAAAAATGTATGACAAACTAGCCGCCATCCGAATGATATTCGATGGATTTGTACAACGTTGTCAGGCTGTATATACTGTTGGGGAAAACTGCACTATCGATGAAATGCTCGAAGGATTTAGAGGCAGGTGTAGTTTTCGTCAGTATATCCCGAACAAGCCAAATAAGTATGGCATAAAAATTCAAGCATTGGTGGATTCACGTACTTTTTTTACTTCTAACATGGAGGTATATGTAGGAACACAGCCTGGCGGCCCATTCAAATTTGAAAATAAGCCATCAAGTATTGTAAAAAGGATGATAACTCCAATTTCTAAAACTGGTCGAAATATCACAATAGATAACTGGTACACTTCCATACCATTGGTAAATGAGTTGCTTGAAAATCATAATTTGACAACTGTTGGAACTCTACGCAAAAATAAAAAATAAATCCCACCTTGCTTTTTAGATACTAAACGTAGGGAAAAAAATTCAACTTTATTTGGATATAGTAAAAATCTAATGATTACGTCGTACGTGCATCGTAAAAACAAAAATGTCGTATTGGTATCTAGTATGCATGATCAAGGCGTTATAGATACAGATTCTGGTGACCAAAATAAACCCGAGATTATTACCTTTTACAACTCTACAAAAGGCGGAGTAGATGTTGTTGACGAATTGAAGGGAGAATATTCTGTTTCTAGAGTAAGCTGTAGATGGCCATTGACAATATTTTTCTCTCTAATGAATATTGCGGGAATCAATAGCCAAATAATTTATCGGGAAAATACTGGCAATGTTATAACTCGTCGAAATTATCTTAGAAGTTTGGGTCAAGAACTTACTAAAGAATTTATGATCAACCGACTTGATATGCCAACATTGAGTATTCAACTTCGAAATACAATTATGAAGATAACAGGAATAAAGAAACAGCCAACACAGCCTGAACAGCATGGAGCAGTGAAAGAACGATTGAAATGTGCATATTGTCCAAAAAATAAAAATCGAAAAACAATGGTGAGTATTGCATGAAATATAATAATAAGCTTTGTAAATAATGAATTCAAAAATATATTTTATGTTAGGTATGCTGTGAGGTATGCAATAACCGTATTTGTAAAGAGCATACAAGTACTCTTTGCAAATCATGTCGAACGGGATCAGAAGAAAAATCCGATTCAGAATAAAAATAACTGATATGTATATACATTATTTTTTTTATTTTTCATCTCCAAGTATTATTATTTTTTAAAACTGTAACTATAATTAATTATTATGTATGTATTGTAACTACCATTTATTAATTATAAATAAACAAAGTGATCCTAATTAATTATTCATAATAAAATCCTCATTTACAGTTCGATTTACAACATTAACTAGTAAAAACTAGGAAAGTGAGCGCCGCGCTCATACGCGCCTAACTGTGTTACAAATATACACGCGCCTACTGACGGGTTAATAAACTAAAAATTTAAATATTTGATTATTATTTTAATTTGGTTATTTATTTACAAACTACTATTACTATTTACTGTGTATTATAAGTGTGCGGTCTACATAATATGTAGACCGCATATCTGAGCATAAAAATGTCGGTAGACCGCATATCTGAGCAGAAAAATGTCGGTAGACCACATATCCGAGCAGCACCATTTTTTTAGAGTGCATTCAATAGGCGTAACCAGTTTCTTAAGTTGAGATGCCTGGATTAAAATTTTTTATACCAAATACTTTTTAATTAGATTATTATTTCTTATTTCTTATGGTGTTTACAACTGACTTTGCTGACTATTCGTTTATATGAAACATTATACTTTTTTATATTGTAGACAAAAATAAAGTTAATACTATAGTGCAGCCAGAGAAAAGTGAGCGTGACCTTTACGCCCCTGGTGGTGTATTTAAGCGTAATCGCATACAATTGTGGAAGCCCAGATGAAATTCGGCCACCCGGAGCACTGGTATCGCGGCTCACTTTTTGCGGGCCGTAATATAATATGTTTATCAATACCTATATCTATATCTATATCTATACTACTATATAAAATGAAGTCGCTTTTTTTTGTTTGAGATAAACTCCGAAACTACTTATTCAATCGTCGTGCAATTTTTTTTAAATTAAAGAGGACATCAGGGAGAAGGTTTAAGGCGAAAATTTAGTCCGATAAAGTTAATAAATAATTAGTTATTATTAATTAAAATAAATGTGTAAATTGTATACCTATACTTTTTTTAGTAAGAAATAGTCGGTAGCTGAAAATAAATAACAGTCAAACTTGACAACCACAGATATAGGTATAGATTTCCGTATTTATTTTAACATCGCCCCGTACGCTGATATTATTATTTTCGTTGTATGCAGTGTGTAATAGTTTTATATCGTTTTCGGTATAAAACGTCTTTTCTCGATTTTGATGGTTTAATCATTTAAAGCCGTAATTGATTTTTACTACTTTCATTTTTTAAAATGCCCAGACGAATGTTAAACATTGGTCGATCCCAGAATGATGCCAAAAGAATGAGTGTAGTACGTAGAGAACGACAGTCAATTAATGATGATGTTGTTAACGACAGAGATTCATGGTCGAGAAAAAATTATTCTGCTATAAACTATAACGGTGGATTACAAAAATAACCCATTAGTTTTTATAGAAAATCCTACAATAGTTTGCCAGTTTTGTTCTGCTCTGAGATGGGGAGACGAATGCTAAACCATAGGCGTGTTTACGGGAGGGGCCGGGTGGGCACTGGCCCCCCCGGCCGATTGTGACTCCAACAAAATCATGCCAGGATAAAAAAAAAAATCGTGTGGTGTGTACCCTGCATTACCTATAGATTTTGATTGTAATTTTTTTAGTTACGCATTTATGAATTGTGATTATAATTTATTATCAGATAATATTATCATCAATTCTTTATAACTACATAACATAGTACAAGGTACAACTTACTGTTGTGCCCATTTACCAGGTCTTGCGCTGTGGTATCCATAGACATAATAGAATTATGTCTATGGTGTTATCACAGATTATATAACATTTTATCTAACCATTGATAATAAGTTTTTATCAGATAAAAATATCCAATTATCGATTATCATTTCAAAAATGTGTTTAGAAATTTCAAATTTTACGATTTGTTAAAATAGTTAATAGTTAAAGTTTGTTAATAGTTTTACAATTTCCATCTTATTTACCTTGTGTACTTAATACCAATTTATAATGGATGGAAAAAAAAATAGTTTGTTCAAGTATTTTAAACAGGTTGATACAAATAAAGGTAAGTACCTATATGGTTAAATTATTAACCAACCCTGATTATTATTTTATTTTTAATACTGTGTTTGTTTTTTACTATCTAAATATAATAGTGCATCAAACCAGTCATGAACTTCAGAGTTCCACAACTGATGTTTCAACTGATTCAAGTTTAATTAAATCAGTACCTTTGATCATCTCTTCAACAAGTAACAGTGTGTCAGGTACATACATAAGTCTATTATTTTAAAAATAATGAAAAAAAATCATTTTTAATAATCCTATGCTTTTTTCTGTCTAAATATAATAGTGCAGCAAACTGGTCATGAACTTCAGAGTTCCACAACTGATGTTTCAATTGGTTCAAGTTTAATTAAATCAGTACCTTTGATCATCTCTTCAACAAGTAACAGTGTGTCAGGTACCTACATTAGTCTATTATTTTAAAAAAAATAAAAAATAAATCATTGTTAATAATCCTATGTTGTATCAGTATTTTGGGCTGTTTATGTTAGTTATTTAGAGAAATCAAATGCCTACGGCAGTAAGCATATTTAGTCAATGACATTGACTCAATGTTCTTGTAGTTTTTTTTGTAATTATTTAAATTATTATCTAAGACAACATTTTCAAAAGTATCAATTAGATTAAAATTCTAATAAAAATTTTACAATTTGTTTTTTTAATTTTTTGGTATCAACATTAACATTGCCTGTGGTATTATTAAAATATTAACATGTTAAATACACATTCTATTGGTGATTAAGATTATAATTATATTTGACCTTTATTACTTGTTTATTTATGTTAATGTTTTTAAATGTTTTAATATTGTATTGTTCATTACTTTCTTCTATTATTTTGTATATCTTTTATAACTGTATGTATACTTATGTTGATTTATTATACTACTGTATTTGAGCCTCCCAGGCGTTAATTCAATAAATTCAATAAATTAATCATTGTTTTTATTTTATTGTATAAATCATTAACAGTATTTTTTTCTAAATGTTATAAAAATTAATTTTTTGAATGTTTGTTTCAAAACATTTACGTACAAACAGCAAACTAATGTAATACTAAATATTAGTCTTTATCTCTGAATGTAGACCTACTTATAGTATTTGGTTTTGACCAAATATTACCATACAGACAACTAGTCAATTCAACATGTAAGTGAAATATAGTTTAATATAGTTTAGTCAATTTAGTTGTACAATGTTCATGTTTTTAATGCCTAGATTATAAAAAGTTTAATCTTTGCTTAGTAGTTTAGAATTTTTATGTAGTCATTCTGATTAGGAGGTTATTCTAAATATTTGAATGAATAAAATTTATCTATAGATCCTGATGATCCAGTGAATAATGTTCCAATTTCTCAAGTAGAGCGAAAAATTAGAATTATCCGTGGTCCTTGTCAACCAAAACTTAATATGTACCCTCGTACAAAGTTTGGAGAAAAGCAACGTAGCTTCAATAGTTCCTGGTATGATCAGTTTAAATGGCTTGAGTACAGTTTAACAGCAGATAGAGCTTTTTGTTTTCCATGTCGGTTATTTAATAATTCATCCGGTATTAATGTTGGTCATGCAGAAGTAAATTATTCCAAAGTTGGGTTCAATAATTGGAAAAATGCCACAAGCAAATTTAGAGAGCATCAATTAACCAAGACTCACTTGAATAGTACTAACTCATTAACAGATTTTTTACAATCTAAGCCTATCGACATAATTTTAGATGAAAATAATGAACAAATTCGATCACAAAAAGAAATACAAAGATTGAAAAATAGACAAATAATGAATCGTCTAATAGACATAACTCTTTGCTTGGGAATCGGAGGACGTCCATTTCGTGGAAAAAATGAAAAGGATAGTAGTTTTAACAAGGGTTTATTTAAAGATATTGTAACACTTTTATCAAAGTATGATCCAGTACTAAAATCTCATCTAGATTCAGGACCAAAAAATTCTTCTTATTGTAGCAATCTAATTCAAAATGACTTAATATTATCAGTTAGTAATGTTATTAAAAATCAGTTTAGAGAAAAAATAAGAAATCAAAAAATATCAATTATTGCTGATGAGACGAGTGATATAGGTCACCACGAACAGCTCTCGGTTGTTATACGATATTTTGATAATTTCAAGAAATATCCAGTAGAACAATTCATTTGTATGAAAAGAATTATGTCGATTGACTCTGAAACTATTTTCAACACACTACAGGATGTTATCAGTGAGTATGATATAAAATGGGAATCAGTTGTTTCTATGTACTTTGATGGGGCAGCAACAATGTCTGGCAGTTTATCGGGGGTTCAAGCGAGAATTAAAGAGAAAAATGAAAAATCGTTATTTGTTCATTGCTATGGACATTGTTTAAATTTAATTTTAGTAGATTCAGTTGGAAGAGAAAATAAGGTAACATTCAATTTTTTTGGAAATATTCAAGTCATATACTCATTTGTCGAAGGGAGTTGTACTAGACATGCTATTTTGGAAAAAATAGCAAGTAATATCAATATAAAACTGAAAACATTAAAGTCAGTATCTACGACTAGATGGGCTTGCCGCGCCGAAGCTGTGAGTGCTGTTAAAAAAAATTACGCAGCATTATTAATTGCAATAGCTGAAATTTGTGACAATACTAGACAAGCCGACATAAGAGTCAAGGGGTTAGGAATCTTACATCAAATGAAAACATTTGAATTTATATTTTCTATGCAGATGTTAGATCCTATTTTAAATTTAGTGTTAAAGGTAAGCACATACTTGCAATCTCCAGATTTAAATTTGTTGACAGCTGTTAACTTGGTTACCTCCCTCAAACATTCACTATTATCGTTAAGAAATACTGAAAGCGAGTTTCAAAATATTTTTAAAGAGAGCGTTAACATGTGTGAAATTAATGATATTCAAATACCGGATGTCAAAAAGAGAAAAGTATCTTCTAAAATTGACAATTCTCGCGACACTCAACATTTTATGAACAGTAAAGAGCAAGAAATGAAGATATGTGTATATTTACCTTTGCTAGATAAGATGATTAATGGTATAGAGGTCAGATTTAGTCAAGAAACATTAACTTTAATAAATAGTATTGGCCACTTAGTAGAACTAGAAACTAACCACGATGATATGACAATTTTGTGCAAAACCTTTGATTTGAAGCAAAATGAGATGGAAGCTGAAATTCGTTTAATTAAACAAAGTGATCCAAATCCAAAAGGAAAAAACTGTGGCGAGTGGATTAAGTGGCTTGCAGTTTATGGTAGAGAGGATTTATTTTCAAATGTATTCAAAGCCTTTAAAATATTCGTAACTATACCAGTTACAAGTTGTTCGTGTGAACGAACATTTTCCAAACTAAGTTTTATAAAAACTAAACTGAGGAGCACCATGAATCAAGATCGCCTGGATGGTTTATTAACCATCAGTATCGAGCAAGAATTGGCAAGAAGTATTAACTTTGATGATGTCATTGAGACTTTTAAAGTATTAAAACCATATGATAGACGAATGGATTTATAATAAGCACTTTATTTCAATAAATTATATCAACAATTTATTATGTATCTGTTTTTAATTTAGTTTTAAATATATTTTTATTGTTTTGACAATAGTTATACTTTTTTAACATAATTAAAAAATATTCCTACCATTGTGAATCTTATAACATGAAAAATTAATGTTTCTTCATGTCTAAAAAAAAAATAGGTCTCACAATTTAAAAATGTGTTGTGCCCCCTCGGCTACCAAAGTCTGAACACGCCTATGTGCTAAACCTTATGTTGCTCTAATGTCAAAGTAAAATTAGATGATATAATTATACCACCAGAACCATTGAATTCCCTTCTTAAAGGAAGTCACACAAAACATAAACAATTCACACGCGATATTCGCTATTACAACAATGCTTTCCAAATGACTTCATACAGAACTCAGAAGCAGCAGGTAGTTCATAAAGGTTTTATGCCTAGGTACCTTTAAAGAACAGGGAAGTAGCCGTTATAATTACAGGACAACAATTCAACTAAAGAGACATTGTACTGCGATGTTGTGATGACAATCTTCAAATAATTTCTGAATTGCACCGATCCTTAGGACAGTCTTCAATATCCATTAATGTTCCCCTACAGTGAAGATGGATACTCGATAGATATCCCTCAAGTTTATTCTGTTACTAGAGTTCCTACACAAAAAAAAGTTTCATGTATGAACTATTATTGCTATCGCATAATGGAACGCCAGAACAATTCAAACCATTTACTTAGATATGGCATGTTATTTAACAATATATAATTGATCAGTATGCCAAAATCGAATCTGAGCATTTGGCGTTTATAAGACACAATCAAAAGGCATTACGTGCTGAAAGTTATATTCAATTACAGGGCGCATTGCGCTCCAATGAACAAAGCAATAACATTGGACAATTAGTTATATTGCAATCAAGTTTTACGGGGGGGTATCTTCATGAAAAAACACAATCAATTACGCCTTTAAATGATTAAACCAGCCAACAATCAACAGTTAATAAAATAACAATCAAAATCGAGAAAAGACGTGTTATACCGAAAATGATATAAAACTATTACACAGTGCATACAACGAAAATAATATCAGCGTACGGGGCGATGTTAAAATAAATACGGAAATCTATACCTATATCTGTGGTTGTCAAGTTTGATTGTTATTTATTTTCAGCTACCGACTATTTCTTACTAAAAAAAGTATAGGTATACAATTTACACATTTATTTTAATTAATAATAACTAATTATTTATTTACTTTATCGGACTAAATTGTCGCCTTAAACCTTCTCAATGATGTCCTCTTTAATTTAAAAAAAAATTGCACGACAATTGAATAAGTAGTTTCGGAGTTTATCCCGAACAAAAAAAAGCGACTTCATTTTATATAGTAGTATACATCAGTGAAGTGCTAACATAATAATAGTAATAATTATAATAGACAATAATACCAACACTTACAATTTAATAATGTTTTTCGTTTTTTTTCCTTACGCGGAGGTTGTATCTGGATGACTTTGTATATAGGGTGTCCCAGCAGAAGCGCTCATTTTAAAAATTCCAGGATTTATTTTGTTCTTGAGTTAACAGAACTGTTCCAATGTTTTTCTTATTTTATAACATCCCCAATTTGTCATCAAAGAGCAGTTTTTTGCATTCGTGGTAATGGAGAGGTTCAAAGTCGAACAACGTGTAACAATAGTCACACAGTCTTGCACTATGGCTACGTTTTCTGGCGATCGAATGTCATCTGATGAGCTGCTTTCTTGTCCACAACAGAACTACTTTTCTCGAATTTTTCTAGCAAACGATTGAAGTCTCTCGCGAAGACGCATTGTTTCGTCCGAAGCTTTTGCAACGTCTCCGCGACACACTCTCCACACTTGTAGTGCGTTTTCACTATTGCAAACATTGTTCAATTCTGAACCTCTTCATGACGACGAATGCCAAAAAATGCTTTGTGATGACAAATGGGGGATGTTATAAAATAAGAAAAACATTGGAACAGGGCTGTCAACCCAAAAACAAAATAATCCCTTCGTTTTTAATCCCTGTGCTGTTCTGCTGGGACACCCTATATATATATATATATAAAAAAAAAAAAATGTTTCATTATAATTTCTTTAAAAGGAATATATGGAATATATGTCCACTTAATAAAATAATATTTTTGTACCCAAGCTGAATTTAGAGTTTTCTAATGAATGAAGAAAGGAAAAGAATCGAAGAGAATATTATATGAGAGGATTAAAAGAGTTATGGAATAGAATTAAGTATTATTATTTATGATATAATATATAAATTGTAGAAAATATAATTTTTTACCTAAATACCAAACAATTCTAGGGGGCTGAATCCCGCCCAAGCCCACACATTACAATTTTTTGTTAATTTATTTATAAATGTATCCAGCTTAATATGTGTGAACATGCTCCGTTTAACATTAATACCAATTGGAACGTTAAAAATGGTTATAGCCTATAGGCAAATCGACAACGATGTTTCAATTATTTTGTACCTCATTAATGTCACTAGGGTCTTTTAGAATTAAATTTCTTTAAGACGTTGGACTTGCTTCAACTATATCTTCTCAGTTTTAGCCTGGTGAATTTTATGACATTAAATTGTTCAACATTAGTGTCTTATACGAAGACGCAAATGCACGGAATGATGGATTATTTGAGCTGACACTCTGTACAAATTATAAATCTTTGAAAATCTAAAATCAAACAATTAAAAATAATATCAACATATATATAAATTCATCATATTATTATATTTATTATATTATTTTATAGTAATTTGAGGATGCATTGTACAAATATTGATGTTGTTTAGCTGTGATAGCCAGTTTAAATAAACATGGTTGTATCCTAACTATTTCACTGGTAATTAATAAATAAAGGTAATGTAAAATATATAGAATAAAACAAATAATATTTTGCTAGTGGACTGTATAAATTTTATTGCATATAAGTAGGAAAATATGATGTACACGAGAACACCTTAGATACTATGTTAGTCCTACCCAATAATAATACAAATAATAAATAATAATTGATCAACAAATCACAAACGTGA